GAGTGCGGAGGAGATCTATAAGCTGGACGTAATTTCAAGTCTCTTTAACTTATTCCTCAAGACAAAGCGAGGCCCAAAGATGTTCTTGAGTTTGGACAGGCGAGTCCGCGCAGCTTCGTTCGATGTGATTAACACATTTGGTATCGAACTTGCGGCATCCTTGCATCGCACGTTGGGTAAGGAGTGGTTTGGTCAGGTGGTTCGAGTGGCCAGGCAGCTTTTTGACCGTCCGGAATCGCGCTGGTTGTCGGACCCCTGCTTCCTTGGATGCTTCTTACGACTCTACAATGCCTACATCCACAGATCCTGCATGATGTTTTGCCGCGGTCAGGGACTACCAGTCCAAGACTGGCAAACCAGAGACCATCTGGACCCCCTGTCAGAAGGCCTCGACTTCTTCGGACGCCTCCCGGGCCTGAACTTCCAACCACCACCGGCCGTTCCGGGGCCCGTGTCGCCTTCTGCAGCCTCGACCTTGCTGGAGGCACCCTTTACGGCACCGTCTGTGACCGTGTCACCCACGTCTGCGCCTTCTCGGACCCCTGAGGTCGAGGTTTGCATACGCCCTGCTCCGTCGACGGCGATTCTGGCTTCCTTTGCGTACCAAGAAGCATTCGACTTCGGCGTTTCACACGACGTGGGTTCTCAAGCTTCTGGTCGACAAGAGCTGCCGGGAAAAAACGAGCTCGACTTGGGTCCAGTTTCCGTGTGCCGGCTGGCACAGGATGACGAGAGCACATATGGTAAAAGGCGAAGGCTCACTACGGCAGCCGTCGCAAGATTCGCTAACCCACCCCGGCCAGAATCGGCGACTGACGAATCGACAACCGGTGGAAAGAGGGGAAACGGGCATTCCATTCGCCGAGAACTCAGCTATCAGAAAGCGCCGATCGTCGAGCCCTTGCTCAATGACGACGCCTTGTGGTACGTACAGAACTTTTCTTTCAGTTGATGACCACGTGCGCAATTTTCGTTTTCGGGGCTGAAATTTGGGTCCGACCGGCCCTGCCGTTCGCTTTTCATGGGTTGAGGAACTTTTACGACCACGCAATCCACAGGCCCGAATTCAACTCAGCCGGCGGTATCGGCAGGGCAGGGCCCGTCGGACCCCGGCAAGGTAAGATTGATTGACCGGCAAGGTAAGATTTTATTGATAATAATTGTTGGCTAATGAAGCCGAGTATAAGTGAGGGCGGAGGATTGTCGAAGTCGGTTCACATCCTTACGTTGAGCGGCTACGGCAGCGAAGTAATGTTGGGTACCGGCCGAGTCATGTGTGCGTCTGCTGGCCTTCAGATGCGGAGGGGCGGCGAGACCCAGAGCAGTCCTGCCGGTGGAATTGTGACGAACGTTATGGACAGTGCGAGTAAGAAAGCTGAACAACTAATTAGTCGCATGCTACGTGAGCACTTCCTGAAGCCGCCTTCCAA